TCTTAAACTCTGGTGGAAAATTGTCATGAAAAGCTATCCACTGAAGCACTCTCATCTGACGGCAACAATTCAAGAAACAAAGCTGCGCTGATAAAAAAATTCATTTAAACATTTTTAACACACCATAAGGAAAAGCTAAAGCATAGCGACCCATATTGGATTTTCAGTTAGGAAAATCTTTTCTTGAGACAGATTAGATCAGTCTTTTAGTTTTCTTTTATAAATTGAAGCGTGATGATGACAGTTATGAATTTGTTTCTTGAGCTCTCTTCCTAAGCCTGCATATGCTGTATTGTAGAGGAAATGCATATAACAAAACTTGTGAACGTTAACACATTCTGTTTGTTGGGAATATTACTCAAAGGCGGTGAAGTTCTTGATGCTCTAGCATCATGTCGTAGCATTGCATTTGACAAAACTGGCACTTTGACGACTGGGGATTTTGTGTGTAAAGCAATTGAACCAATTCATGGTCACATGAGTAGGCAGGAGAAACAGTTTGCTTGCTGTAAACCCACTTGTGAAACAGAAGCCCTTGCTGTTGCAGCTGCGATGGAGAAGGGCACTACTCACCCAATTGGAAGGTTGTTCATTAAATGGCTTTCATGTATGTTGTCCTTTTCTGCTATAATTACTTCTCGTTAACATTCACACACACACACACATTGCTTGATAGAGACTCAACCAATGCCACTATTGTTTAAAATGGATGGAAAACTCTTTAGTTTCTTATACCTTTGTAAACAATGTGTATTTGAGTAGGAGCCAGCTCATTATTTGCTACATTAAATTAGTCTAGGATCATGTTTTACTTTATCATAATCTATTTACACTTTTTATTAACATTTTTCTTTCAAACTTTATGATCTTTATGAGCTTGTATATTTCTAGTGTTGATATTGTTAGATGCTTCATTTAGAACCTCGCATGTTTATAATAAAATCTGAATTTGTAACCCTTTTCATAATTCTTTTTTAACTGTCCATTTGTCATTTATTCATTCAAAATTCACATAAACAAACGAACAAAGACTATATGAAGAGAATATGACATTCTATGATTTCTGAATATGCTTGGGGAGTTGGGGTACTGGGCATTAATATAAGATTTGATTTCATGACGTGTAGACAATATAAAATTTAGGAAGTAGAAAGTTGCACCAATGGGATGCTTCAAATATGTTCTGTTTTCCGTCACCTATCTAGTTCTTCGTTGATGCAGAGCTTTTTTGGACCATAGCTCAGGCAAAGATCTTCCTTCAATTTCTGTTGAAAGTTTTGAAAACCTGCCTGGTAGAGGTGTCTTTGCAACATTGTCTAGCGGCTAGCGCAGAGGTATTTAGCTTATAGTGTTCTATTTATCACTTTATTTTAATTTTTACTTGCCATACCTAAGCAACTACAAACATAACAAACTTGCAACTAACAAACATAACATAACAATAGAGAAGAGTAACAAACATAAATGACAAATAATTTTTACTTGCCATACCTAGCTTATAGTGTTCTATTTATCACTTTATTTTAATTTTTACTTGCCATACCTAAGCAACTACAAACATAACAAACTTGCAACTAACAAACATAACATAACAATAGAGAAGAGTAACAAACATAAACTTGCAACTAACAAACATAACATAACATAACACCATAGGGAAGAGTTCTTACTTTTCCTCGAAAAGTGCAACTAACAAACATAACAACTTGGTTGTGTTGCGTCGCCTTTATGGGAAACAATATCACTGCCGAGCATGCCTTTGAAGCTGTGTGAAAGTCAATCAGAACACTTGAACCCCAGGCAGATACAATAGAGAACCTGACTTCCACTATTGCCCAGTAGTCATAGGCAGCAACAATGGCAAATTTAGAGCAAATGATTAAGCAACTTCTGTAAATCCAGGGAATCACATGTTGGAGGGCGAGGCTTAGACTGATTCAAGAAAACGAGGGTTCTTGAATTCCAACATCTAGCGAGCCTGACACTTCCTAATGCCACTATTGACTTTCCTTTGTTTTCCGGCAACATGTACCCTCTAGTTTTTCTGTTGTAAGTGTGCTATTTCTGCAATGCTCATATCCCCAAATACTACCTTGGTCATAAGTGTTCTACCTTTTCATGATTTGGAAGTAGGATGAGGGGGAATCTCCTCCTACGTTAGACAAGTACAACGACGACACACCAAAAATGAACCTTCATGCCATACGAGGTTACACAGTGTAACATGATGAGGGTTCACGGGTGTTTAAGTGGAACTGCCTTTATAACATTCATTGACTCGGGCAGTCCTGATAATTAGGCATTCTCAGTCTCTGAGTTACTGAGAACGAGGTTATCCAGGGACGTGTAGGATTGGCACCTCTTCAGGACAAGATGAGGGAAGCTGGGTTGAGGTGGTTTGGGCACGTTAAGCGGCGGAGTACTAAGGCCCAGGTGCGGAGATGTGAGAGCCCAACGGTGGTGAGCGAGAGTGTGGGAAAGGGTAGACCTAGGGAGAATTGGAAAGAAGTGTTTATACATGACCTAAGATTTTTGGGCATTTCTTAGGATAATAGGATATGACCTTATATAGGAACATCTATAGAGCTAGGATTTGGATAGTTGACTAGGCTCTTGGGCTCGGTGGTAGTTCTTGCACTTGTATTGTGCGCTTTCTTTGCTTAGTTCTTTTGTTTCGCTACTCTTTTCTTCCATTGCTTTTTTTCCTCTCCTTTCCCTTAACTTGCTATGTGCCTCTTTTGCTGTGCTTTGTGCTTTCTATGCTTTTCTCTGCAGTTTGTGCGAGTCTCTTGAAAACAACCTCTCTACTTTCGAGTAGGGGTAAGATTTGTGTACATACACCCTTCACAGTCCCTACTCTTGTGGGATTTTATTGGGTTATTAATGTTGCTGCTTGTTGGTCTGTTAGCAAGACATGTCATGGCAGTTTTGTTTAATGCCCATACAGTTACGGATAAATTCCCTATGTTTATCATTAATGAATTGTTGATGAGCACCATTATTGTTTTCACTAAACTGAACATTCCTTTGGTCTTGATACAGCCAAGTCCGCATGTACCCTGCGGATGTGAAGGAAACAACATTCCGTAGTTGGATTCTTATCATGCCTTTTAGCCTTCCAAAGCTAAACCTTCCTCCCGTCTTAAATGAATGATGCTTTCGGGCCATTCATAAGTTTGTTTTGGTATTCTTTGATGGCATTTTAAGTTTTAACGAAGGGTGCTACATGGGTAGAGCATCTCCAACATATTTGTTTGGTTTTCTTTATCTTGCATCATAACACCTTGTTCTTGAAAAAACAAGTCACCAATTCCTTCGCCCCTAAACAATGTCATTTTAAAGAAAAAAGTGTTCTCAAATAATTGCGGAATTGCCTCTTCTGAATTTCAAGAGATCATTTAATTGTGAGTTCTCCGCTTTTTTCCTTGAACTAGAAATGCTTCGTGGTACTTTGTCTATCTTTAGTGGATCAATGACGGGTAACCTAGTTCTAGTATAGTATTCTTTTCTTGATTTTAGAAAAATATACTCCCGTCTTTGAATGAACTTTTCGTATCCCTTATTTGGACGTCTAAAAATCAACTTTACACTTTTCCACTTCCCCTTCTAGGTCTAGGAAATAAATATGTGGACATGTTTAATTTTTTTTCTTCCAAATGCATTTCAACCACACACTCTTGACTTTGTACCAAACACGTTTCACTTTTCAAAACTTCTCTTGAAACTCTGTGAAGTCAAGCTGTAAGGTTCTTTCAAAGATGGCAGGAGTATTATTTATGTTTAAAAACCTTGAACTCAAACTGTAAGGTTAGTCAAAGATGGCAGGAGTATTATTTATGTTTAAAAACCTTGAACTACAGTTCTCACAACAGATGGAGTATATCTTTGTGCATGGATCATGAATGCATTTTGGTTTTGATAGAATAAAGAGGCTCAAATATTTAAATGCAATATACTAAATTAATAACTGAAAGGAAAGATGGATCAAGAGTTTCCAAAGAAAACTCTCCAAGAGTCCCGAAGGAAAACTCAACCAATATATTCTGGCACCCCCATTAAAGCCAAAAATATCCCAAACTAATGTGTTTTCTTTTCTCTCAATTGAGTGCCTTTATTTACACCCTAACACATCAATACTTGTTTGCTTAATTTGGGTTCACAAGATCCTTTTTATCTACAGGAAGGCATTTGAGTTATAGCTCCTTTCATTTTATGTTTTAGGCAGGACTTGTAGGCAGTAAGCCAATGAAAGCCTCACTGGGTTCTATTGAATATATCACATCACTTTACCCGTCTGAAGATGAATCAAGCAAGATAAAGGAGGCTGTAAGGACATATGTTTATGGAGTAGATTTTGTTCGTGCTGCTCTTTCTGTTAACAATAAAAAGGTGAAGTGTTTTCCTTTACATTGCATTTGGGAAAAGATAAAATATAGGAGCAAAATGAGAGAACTGTGTTTCTTGTTTGGGAAAGAAGAGATAAAAAGGAATGAATGGAAAATAAAAGCTAATTTCCTCTTCTCATTTTCTCTCCAAATTTGAGATAATCTGAAATTTATGTGGAAAATTTTACGATTCATAAATCGTAATAGAAACAATTTTAACATCATATTTCCTTCAAATTATTCTTGCTCATCAGCTCAATTTTCTGCTTCTGGTTTCAAGTTTCAACTTTCTACGGCATTTTTCTTCTTGGTCATCAGCTTAATATGACACTTTGGAGTTTGCACACAGCATATGCGACTTGGGAAAAAATATATTTCAAATTCACTTGCATGCAGAGTATGTAACAATCCCATTTGGAAAATTTTCTTTTCTTTTGCTTTGTATTTTCCTCGAATCGAATACATGAGAGGAAAATAAGAAAATAGATTCATCTTATTTCCTTGTTTTCTATCCTCAAGAAAGGAAATTTGCCAAAGAACGTTGGACAAGAATGGTATACCCATAGTTTTCACTAGTCTTTGTACTCTCTTTTTTTTATAGCACTCTTCTTTATTTGTGTAACCTTCGGCTTCCCAAAGACTTCCGAAACTAAGGTCAAAAGTTTTGTATAGGTTACTCTTTTTCACTTCGAAGATAAGCCTCGACCTGGGTTCCAGATGTCATACGCACATTACACGTCCGTTTGTAACTCCAGGAATGGACTATTTTTTGGTCGTGCTTCTTTAATTAATGAGGTAGTAGTTAGTTAATCAATGCAACTTTCAATAATGAGCCAGAGGTCTCTTTGGAAACAGCCTCTACTTTCGAGTAGGGGTAAAGTTTGCGTACACACACCCTCTCCAGACCCTACTCTTGTGGGATTTCAATTGGGTTGTTGTTGTTGTAACTCCAAAAATGCCAGAGAAAGAAAATGAGAGGAAAATGTAGGGGCATAATTTGGACGGAAACATGTATAAAGACTAAAATAATCTAGGCAAATTATTGTATGGACCTTAGGTCCATGGTTGACCTTCATATATGCTAAATAAGCATTTTCCAAGTGTTGAAATAAGCATTTTTTAAAATAAAAAAATATGTGTGAAGGTCCATGTGGACCTTTGATCCACCATAAAACCTCTTAGGAATCTAAAGTCTAAACAAACATGGACTTATTGAAAAATAATTAAGATTATATTGTATATGTATTTCATTTTTCTTTGCATTTTCCATGGCAGCCCAAAACCAGAAAGTAACAGTCCATAGCAATTTTATCCCTTTCCATATCATTTTCCGGGGTTCAAACATAATACATAGCCTTAATATCTCAATTCATTTGTAATTTGTTAGTTATCACATAATATTTGTGTACTTTTTTTAGCAGGGGGGCTAATAATGGTAGGCGATGGTATCAAATATCAATGATGCCCCTGCTCTTGCTGCTGCTACTGTTGGCATTGTTCTAGCTTAACGTGCCAGTGCATCAGCTATAGCTGTTGCAGACGTCCTGTTATTGCAAGACAATATTTCTGGTGTTCCATTCTGTGTGGCTAAATCTCGGCAAACAACTTTGCTGGTATCTTCCTTTTTTCCTCATATGGTTACTGAAGATGCTTGTTGTGTTCTGATTGTCATTTTGTATTGTTNGGCCAGTATTGATTCTATTTTATGCAAAAGAGAACCATGCCAAACTTTTTTTATTGCATCCATTTCCAATGGAGCTAAAGCAATCATTATTGACATTATTTTAGCTTTTGGTAAATAGCGGTCCAAAAAAGGCACATTAACCGTCCTTTTTTTTATTCTTGAGGTTTCGGGTAATAATTGCAATTTGCAACAATACATCAAATGTCTAACATAAAACCTCTTTGTTACAGCGGTCAAGTTGCATGTATCATGCCCCCGCAGACCCTAAATCGTATGGGATTATATTAGGCTTTGTTGCTGCTGATGTTCTGTAATGAAATAACTGAAAACATACTAATAATCTGTCGGTTTTCAAAATCACTTATGAAATTTATAAGTTTCAAGATCCCTTGATCACATCTTGGAATGATACCAAAGACCTTAAATTTTTATTCTAATCAGTTTCCTCTATTTCAATTTTTATCCTTTAGAGCAAGCATTATTATGACATTATATCATGTTTCTTTGTGATCATCCCCATGGCAGGTGCTTCTACATGAAGGCGGAACTCTTCTTGTGTGCTTGAATTTCATCCGTGCTCTTAATGACCCTACGTGGTCCTAGAAAGACAATATCTCAAAGCTAGCTAACCAATTGCGAAATGTAATTATCATTTGTAGAAGGCATAATGCTACTCGATGCACCACCATGCAAACAACTTCATGATCCCCATCTGGTTCACACCCACAACTCATACATTCTTTCTCACTATGTATTATGCTGCAAAACCTAAATCTCAAACAGAAGAAGTATGAAGCGTAAGTCCTACATAGCAATGTATATGCTGAATGATCAACTTGTTGCAATGCAATTTGCTGGTTATGGTTCATTTCTCGATATCTAAAGTAAACTAGAATTCAAACTCATATATGAAAGGTATTTCACGATGAACGATGATTATTTTGAGTGTAAATACTTTGTGGTGATAAATGCATTTGTTTGTATTTCGTCAGTGTGAAATTCTAAGCTTATTATTTATTGTTTAAAACTTCACAAACTTATTATTTATTGTTTAAAACTTTGTTTTAAAATCATTTTAGACCATTTAATGTTTTCCATTGAAGTTCACAAATAGTAAGTTTGTGAAGTTTGTGACCATTGTGTTTGTGAACCAAGCATTCTCCATGTAGTAATAACTAGTACATTCGTTTATCAGTTTTTGTTCTTTTTTTTCGGTTAATTGTGTAATACGAGTAGCTATTTCATACTCCGTTTTTCTATTCATGTTTTGAACAAAAAAAATTTATTTTCCGTCGTTCTTTTTTTTGCAATGTTCAAATTTTATTTACTCCATATGTCAAAAAAATTTCTCATTTCTTTTTCGGACGTCTCAAAAAAACTCATTTTTCCAGGTTTGAAAAACCTCCTATGGCTCACAATCTTTCTCTTTCATCTACATATATCTTAACCACATAATTTTATTTTTTTTTAAAATTTTTGTGTCAAACCAAATGTAGAACCTTATTTTTGAAGCGGAGAGAGTATATAGTACCATAGTACTCCCTCCAACCCAAATTTATTGAGAAAGTAAAAAGGTATGCCAAATACTTTGCGACGAATCAAAAAAGAAAGTGAGACGATTGATTTGAGACAAATGTAGTATTAGGTACTCCCCATGGCCTAAAGTTATTGTCATAGTTACTATTCTGGATTCTTGATATTTTTGTTTGAATATACATTTTGTTGACCATGTAAAAAATTAAAATATTAATGTTAAATCTTGCTTTATAAAATTTTTGATGTAATTTTAAAATAGATAATTTGTATTTTTTATTTATGTACCATTTTATAAATAAAACAATTTAAGAAAAGATTAGATTTTGCACGTTATCGGAATGTGCTGATAATTCTTTGACGAATCGAGTAAATAAAAATGGAGCACTTTTATAAATAATCATAGTTCAGTTATAAAAAATCACTAAAAATAAGAGTAAAATATAATTTTTTTAATGCTACTGACTCTATCATAATATTATTAAAAAACATAGTTGTTATCTTTAACATAGGAGTGTCATAATTTCATTTATAAATTAAACTTTAAATTTGTGCTAGGAGAATGTGACAATGTATATTATCATTCCAAAATATTTTTTAATATTATATATTTTAACCATGCTAGGTGTACCCCAATTATAGTACTCCAAAAGTTTACACTTATATTTTGATGGTTTACATTGACACAAAGTGTCAGTATGATCGCAAATTTTGCACAAACATTTTGTGTCAATAAGACATCAATCTTGCATTTACATTGACACAAAATATAAACATAAACCTTTGGAGTATATTTTGAGTAAAATCTTTGGAGTACAAGTAGATTTATTATATTCTATATATTTATATGTTAAAGGTTATATTTTGGTTTTTTCTTACTGAGCAAATTTTACTGCGATTTGGTTTAAAATCGGATATTTTTTTCCCATCTAGGCCTTTAGAAAAAAAAGAAAAGGAATGAGTCCCATCCCCGAGGGCCGCCTGAGACCCAATCGGACGTTCACAGGGAGAAAATAAATTGGATTTTAATCACATATTGGTGACAGGAAGTAAAGCTTGCACCTGGTGCTTATAAAGACCCTATGTTTAACATAGTTGTCTCTCAGAGTAGTTGTTAGGAATCGACCCGGATCTACCCCTTGACAGTCTATCTTTTACAACGTGCATAACTTTGTCTTTGCCAACTGCGCAACGTCCACTATTCCGTATGAGCCTTTAGCAATGTCAGGTTAAGTGACATTTTGATTTTATGCATAGATTCTATACCCGTGCTATGCACGAAAAAATTATCATAAGATATATTTAAATGTTATGAAAAATGAACATATATAAAATTAATTACTTTGTCAATATAGTATAAAGATAAAATGTTAGACTCGCGAACTCCTATGAAAATCCTAACTACTTTAGTATATAAAAAATCATTGTGAATATTTATGTTTTAATATACTCGTGCAGAAGATAGATATTTTAACTTTAAATAAAATTAATTATTCCTAAAAGAACCTAACAAAGTAGGTATTTATGTAATCATATACTTCCTCCCTACATTAGCATTTTCTTTACTATTTTAGTATTTCGATCACTTTTGTTTGCGTATACTTTTACACGGTATAATTAACCATGTCCATGCCTCAAAATGGATGTATATTTAGCCCTTTTTCCCTACCATCATGATTTAATGTGGCGACCGATTAATTCCAATTGTAAAAAGCAAAGCCTAGCCACACACCAACATTACTATGCATATGGTTCTATATCAATACACTACCTATATATTTATTTTGATTTGACACAAAATTTGCATTGTGTCACGCACCAACTATACAATGCACGCGGTTTCCATATCAATACACTACCCATCAATTAGGCCTAATTTGGCGGGCCCAAGCTTAATTGGATAATCCATTAATTTAGGCGGGAATACTATTCAAAATATCATCCTAGCTTTGTATATAGTTAGATCTTTAGAGATGGTGATTGTTGATTTATAAAGTAATATGCTTTTAGAATATTAGTGCAAAGCCGTCATTACACAATCTCCAATGAAGGATAATTAATAATACAAAACTGCATAAACTTACCTTCCCGAATTGACAGACCCATTCAAATATTTCCAAAAAAATCATTTGCAAACAGTTTCTTGTTGAATGCACAACTTTAATTTGAACGCCTTAAAAATAACTTGAATTATCATGATTTAAACAAAGTTTACATACCTCATCGTCATTATAGACAACCTCTATTGATTCAATATTTCTTCCAAAAGGCTGAATGGGATAGACACGAATAGCTCGTACGTGAATAACAATATTGTTGTGGTCCTTTTCGAGCTCACCAAGATTGGTAAAGAGACCACAGGTAAAACACGTTTGGGAGCCACATTGGAAAGATGAAATTTTTAAAAGCTCTAATGGTGGGGAAATGAATTGAAGGTATTGGGCAAGGGTTGTTTATAAACATTAAATTTGGACATGCATTGTGGGGAGAAAGCAATAATGATTTTACATTGAGGTGCGTGAGAAATAAAATATATTGGTTGAAGTAAAAACACATGCCCCCAACACATGTCGTCAAAACACATGTCCTAACACATGTTTTAAATGCCTTCACGTGTACCAAAGATCCATTTTTTTAGTACCAAAGATCCATTAGCCCAACCCAAAATCCTTTTGCCCAATCGAATTAACTTCTTCTTTGCCCTATCCAATATCCGAACTTAATGCCACAAATTGTGCCCGAGAACTTTAGGCGGGAAGATGACAATGTTTATGTTTTTTCACTTTAGAGTAAATTCCATAATTGGTCCTTTATAATAGGGAGGTTTCCATATTTAGTCCTCTATTATCAAATATTACCCTCGTAGCCCTTTTTTTAAGAGTGCATTTCCACAAATGGTCCTTTTTTGATCTTCTGCCATGTTGGTATTAATTTAAAGACTAAAAGTATAATTTGACATCAAAATTATGTCTAATGACGTGTTCTGATATTGGTTAAGCGGATAACACAAAAATAATGACGATAATTGTGGGCTAGGATTACGACGAAAGACCACATTTGTAGACTATGGTTGTAGTAGAAAGCGAATGTAATTCAAAAATGATGGAAACCGAACAGCCTTTGGAAATGTGTATGACAAAAAAGATATATTATCATTACGAAATTACATTTTTAACCCTCAAATTAACACCAACATGATAGAAGATAAAAAAAGAGTAAATTCCCAAAATAGTCCTTTGTAATAAGGGATTTTCCCAAATTAGTCCTCAATAAATTTTAATTACCTACGTGGTCCTCTATAATTGAGATTTATTCCCAAAATAGTCTTTTGTAATAAGGTGTTTTCCCAAATCAGTCCTCAATAAGTTTTAATTACCTATGTGGTCCTCTATAATTGAGATTTATTCCCAAGATGGTCCTTCGTTAACAATGTTACTCAAATAAGGATTAATTGAGGGTATTTTTTCTCTGCTAAATTTAGAATTAATTCTTAAAATAATCATTTATAATGAAGTGCTTTCCCAAAATGGTTTTTCTAATTAAATATGTGTATTTGATTTGAAATTTAAAAGATTTTTTTTAAGTTTTAAATAATTCATAAATTATTTATGAGTAAATTCTCAAAATTGTCCTTTGTAATAAGGTATTTTCTCAAATCAGTCCTCAAATGAGGATTAATTGGGAGATATTTTGGTATTTTGATCATTCAAATTTAAAGTATATTCTTGAAACAATCATTTCTGTACAACTAAATGTAAAATTTAAAAAATACATTGATTATAAATAATTTATGAATTATTTAAAATTTAAAAAATCTTTTAAATTTCAAATCAAATACACATCTTTGATTAGAAAAATCATTTTGGCAAAGCACTTCATTATAAATGATTATTTTAAGAATTAATTCTAAATTTAGCGGATACAAAATACCATCAATTAATTCTCATTTGAATAATATTATTTACGAAGAACCATTTTGGAAATAAATCTCAATTATAGAAGACCAAGTAGGTAATTAAAACTTATTGAGGACTTATTTGGGAAAATACCTTATTACAAAGGATTATTTTGGGAATAAATCCCAATTATAGAGGACCACGTAGGTAATTAAAACTTATTGAGTACTAATTTGGGAAAAACCCTTATTACAAAGGACTATTTTGAGAATTTACTCATAAAAAAAGGACTATTTGTGGAAAAATATCCATAAAAGAAGGATCTCTGAATATTTGATAATAGAGGACTAAATAGAGAAACCAACTATTATAAAAGACCAATTATGGAACTCTAGAAAATATTAAAAGATGTTTGGCTAATAACCTTACCCCATTCAAAAACCATTTCCCATCCGTTGCCCAATCAATCAAGTGAACCAACCTGGGGGACTTTCAAAATTCAAATACTCACGCTCCCCCCTTGTCGTTATTCCGCAGTTCCTCCCTTTAGAACTCGAGTTCAGACTTGACGTTCCAAGGCGGAGCAACGACGCACAGCCGCCGCACACGGCCACCAGAATCTCGCTTCTCGGATTCTCCTATTCGATAGCCGGCAGAGCGTAGGGAGCGATAGGTGAGAGGAGCAAATGGCATCCAACATTGGAATGATGGACTCCGCTTACTTCATCGGCAGATCTGAGATCCTTTCCTGGATCAACTCCACTCTCCATCTCAGTATCTCGAAAGTCGAAGAGGTATATAGCCTTCGTTTATTTTTTTTCCTTGCAGACAAATTCAGATTCGAGATTTGAGGGGAACTTCCATCGCTTTTGCAGGCATGTACAGGCGCGGTCCAGTGCCAATTGATGGATGCTGTTCATCCTGGGATGGTCCCGATGCACAAGGTCAATTTTGATGCCAAGAATGAGTACGAAATGATCCAGAACTACAAGGTCCTTCAAGATGTCTTCAACAAGCTCAAAATTACTAAGGTTTCTCCTCTCCTTCCCTTTGAATTGCTTTTCCCCGTGTTTTTTAATGGTCAATTGATTTCTTGGTGTTTACAAAATTTCCTGATGTTGAATGAGTGCAAAATGGATTATAAGGAAATTAATATTGCTTTCGTACATAGTTTTTATCGTTCATGATTGTGTATTTAATCGTGTGTTGTCATCAGCATATTGAGGTGAGCAAACTGGTGAAAGGAAGGCCTCTGGATAACCTGGAGTTTATACAATGGATGAAGCGCTACTGTGGTTCTGTAGGAGGAGGAGGAGCTGCACTCAAGTAAATTCATGAATTTGATTTTTGTGTTTTTGTTCTCTCTATCTGCTTCCCTTAATTAGCTTGACTTTAAAATCCTGACAGGGATATGCATTAACATGTAATCCGTGCTTTATGCTAGTGGGTTTGTTTGGTTTGGATGTTCTAGAATTATTTTTATCATAATTTTCTTGGATTGTTGGTGGTGGTGGTGATTATTTGATCCGTTTAATGTGTACTTTGATGACTCTTAGGTAAAGCATTTGCTTCTGTATGCTATAGAGTTGCGATGGAAGTGTGTTGATTCCTGATTGAACTAAATATGCTGAAGTAGTTGACATTCATGACTATCTAGTGGGTTTGTTTTGTCTGGATCGGATATTCTAGAATTGTTTTTTAACACAACTTTCTTGGATCCTTGATGGTAATGGTGTTTGGTATAATGTGTACCTTGATGATTCTTAGGTAAAGCTTTTGCTCCTGTATGCTATAGAGTTGCAACAGAAGTTTTTTGATTCCTGGTTGAACTATATATGCTGAACTAGTTGACACTCATGACTATCTAGTGGGTTTGTTTGATCTGGATATTCTAAGTGGGTTTAATTGATCTGGATATTCTTGAATTGTTTTTTTTCAACAATCTTCTTGGATAATTGATGGTGACGGGATTATTTGATTGGTTTAATGTGTACCTTGATGACTCTTAGCTAAAGCTTTTGCTCCTAGACGCTATAGAGTTGCAATGGAAGTTTTTTAAATTCCTTATTGAACCAAATATGCTGAAGTAGTTGGCATTCATGACTATCTACACCAATTTGTGCTTTCAAAGTTAGGTTGTGATCATCAATCAAACTTCAATTTGTTTTTTCAAACTTCAATGTGTAGTTACAACGCTCTAGAGAGAGGAGAGGCCAGCAAGGGTGGAAAGGAAGTGAACAAGAAATCTGCAGCAGCATCACAACAAGTTTCGGCCAAGCCTTCCTCAGCTTCAACCAATCATCATGTCCCACCCAATGGCCGTAGGAATGATGCTACCAATACAAGCACCACAAATCTTTCTGGAAAGACCTCTAGGCCATCTTCAAGTGGAGGCCGCTCTGTCTACTCTGAAACAGAAAAGGCTGCACATGAACAACAGGTTTCTTATAAAGCTTATACCTCCAACAGTTCTCCATAAGAGCATTGAAGTACGAATACTCAACCTTTTTTTTCTTTGTGAAATGCAGATTACAGAGTTGAAGTTGTCTGTGGATAATCTGGAGAGGGAGAGGGACTTCTACTTTGCTAAGCTGAGGGATACTGAAATTGTGTGCCAATGCCCCGAGATCGAAAACCTACCTGTAAAGTTCTCTCTCAATATCTGCACTACCGTTCATAGAGAAACTATTACATGGACTGATCGAGTATGGAATTGCCCTGGTTTCATTTGTGTGTCTGCAGGTGGTTGAAGCATTGAAAAAGATTCTGTAGGCTACAGATGACGATGCAACACTCGTTGCAGAGGCTCAAGCCATCATCTCCAAGCAACACCAACAAGTGGACGAACACGAAGATGAGACGGACAACAACAAAGTGAGAGTTGAAAACCAGAAGAGAAAAATAATCATCAATGCTGATGTTGATGTTGCTGCTAGTGTCACATTGTCTCCAAGGCAAAAGATCACTGATGCTTCAGATGTCCATTGCAGCGGATCGCCACTCGTGACTTACTGATGTCTTCTATTACTTCAAGAATGATGTTTTTTTGTCCTGCCTCAATTGCCCGAGAGGTATATACTTCCTACAATGTTGCTCCATGTGGGTGAATCGTGAATGACATAGACAACATATTTTATTTAGTGTACCAGCTGTTATGGAAAGTCTTTATCAAAATCATTGGGAACCAATGGCAGGAACCTTGCCCATAGTCAAAATTAACTTGTGAGGTGTAATTGAAGGAGGTGGGGGTGTGTTCGGGTCGTGGCGGGGTGAGGAGGTTTACTAGGAGGTTATATGGGGTAAGAACCGTCAATTTTATAAACGGACATCGAAACACTCAAGTCATCCCATGAGATTGGGAACCAATTTTATGGAAACGTTGCCCATATTACAATACTTGTAAAGTCCTCAGGGGTAGTAATCTACTCTTGAGTACAAAATTTAGCAAGATACGCAAAGGGGAGCTGAGTGTGGACATGATGATGCAACTATGACCCCAACCCACCAGCATCATCTTCCTTAAATCAAATCTTTCCTTGTTCGCTGAACTGCGTCTCCAATGGAGGCTCAAGTTCTCTTATCCGGGATTAAATTATCCCCTCACAGAACCCGAGCCCCATACCCGATTCGATCCAGAGTAAACCCGAATCTTCTGCTCCCTCCCGTGCACCGTCGCAACTTTAGTATTACATACTCTCCACCAGCCCATCTCCGCCGCTACCCCACCTCCTGCTCGGCCCACAGCCACCACCATCACGACCGCGGCCACGGCCAGCAGCAGCAGAATGGCCATCGTGATTATCATGACAACCACCACCACCACCACCATGGTCCCAATGAATGCAATCTGCAACTAACTAAACCCCAGGAGGTTCTTCTCAAGTTTGCGGAGATGATTAGGTGGACCCACTTGTCCAATTTCCTGCGGGAAAATTTGGAACTCTGTTGTTTCTCAGCCGCTTTGTTTATTGCTGCATCCGCTTGCCCCTATGTGCTTCCTAAACCCGCCGCAAAGCCTTTCCAACATGCTTTAGCTGCCATTGCCTTTCCTCTTGTCGGGGTATTTCTAATGTCCATTCACCTAGCTTACACAATTGTTTCTAATTAAATTTCCGTTTAAGAACAACTAATTGCGTGCATTAGTTTGTATGATCATGCGATCCTAAATAGAGTGATTATTATGCTTTTTATGAGTAGTCTCCAATGCATAGACTAGGTTGCAATGGATTCCCATCATATCATTATTGAAAATGTTAATGTTCTGCTAAACCCACTGGGTGGAGCGAACATATAAAGATATTGTGGATGTTTATGAAGTGATATATGACCAGTGTCCAAAGAACAATGCTATGTGTTCCTGGGAACTCCTTATAGGGGTATCTTGTGTCGTTTGTGTATTATTCAATATTTTATATATTTGGTTATGTTCTGAATTTTATGTCATAATTCATGTCAGATTTCAGCTTCACTTGATGCCCTAATGGACATTAGTGGTGGAAAAATTAATATCCATGTGCTGATGGCTCTTGCAGCCTTTGCTTCAGTTTTCATGGGAAACCCATTGGAAGGTGGCTTGCTTTTAGCGATGTTTAATTTGTCGCATATAGGTATGTGTATTATTATGTGCTTACTTGGCTGTTCATCTCTGCCAAGAGATTTGAATTCTTTACCAAATAACCATTTAACCACATAGCTGAGGAGGCCTTCACTCGTCGCTCCAAGATTGACGTAAAGGAATTGAGAGAAAATCATCCAGAGTTTGCTCTTTTGCTTGATACAAATAGTGGAAGCTTACCAAGTTTCTCACACTTGACATATTGTGAAGTTCCTGTTAGCTACTTGAAAGTTGGCTCATTAATATTTGTCAAAGCGGGCAAGGTATGTACATTGCACCTCCATAGCTATTACATCATATTAAATTGTGTTATTGTGTGTGCTGCTGTATGTTAATGGTTTCTCCACTTACTAGCTTAATTCATTAATGATGGTTGTTATGTGTTGTTCATTGAATTTAAATTTATTATAATACTAGGTTTTACTATTTCTTTAATCAGTCTGTCCTGTGGATTGTGAAGTTTTAAAAGGTAGCTCAACAATCACAGTTGAGCACTTGACTGGTGAGGTCAAACCTTTAGAAAAAAGCGTTGGGGATAGCATTCCGGGGGGAGCAAGGAACGTGGATGGTATGTTGATAGTGAGGGTACGCTCCTTTACCTTTTCTTATATATAAAATTCCATGAGATTTGTGATTTTTCTGTTATAAGTGAAAGACCAAATGATTTAATGTTCCATGTGAGTTGTGTGAAACAATTAAGAAAGGAATGATTCTTGCTATGAATTAGTTTGTACAAAGCCCTATACTTATTCGTGTCACTATGTCAGGCTAAAAAACCAAAAGTGATTCTCACATTCTCCCTCAAGCAAAGCGTACAAATTATATGCCCCTAGCTAGTTACAAGAATAATTAATTATAGAATGCCTAAGAGATTTTTTTGAGATTAATAAGACTAGAATAACTATTAACATTTTTAAAAGTATGTAGGACGTAAATGGGGTAATGATGGAAATTGATCCATTATTGCTACTCTCTTGGAGTTCTAAAGTGGCAGTTATTAGTAAACAAAAAAATTCTTTGAAACATCTAAAAGAGAGCTGATGCAGAATTTTTTACTCCCTCCATCCCTAAATAAAACATTTTGGTTTACGATGCTTGATTGAAGTCACTTTGATTAAAGTTATTTGCATATTGGTATGATATATATATATTATATATATATATATATATAGAGGATATTTCAGATGGCCAGGTTTTTAGAGCGAGAAAGCTCCGGCAATTTCAGCGGTCGTCGTCGACGCATCAATATTCCTCCGGTTTATCAACGGCCAATCTATGGCTTCAGAATTCAATCAAGCGTGTATAGAGATGCTCCTGTCCGGCATCGTCAATCTTATTCCAATTCAACCAACAGATCTGGTTTCATCAAAAGAATCAGCACCCATAGCGCTTTTCACAACCACAAAACATTGAAGCTTCGCAGACGAGACTATAGTTGGCCATTCAAATCCCCCGAGGACCTGAAGAATTCATATGTGCTTTCAGAACAGAGAATAATCGTTCAGGGTCAGAAAGAGAATTCCACTCCATGGCCTAGCAAGAACATTAGATTCAAATTCAAAATTCTTAATAAGGTATTTGAGCTTTTTTACTCTTTCTACAATAAGGTCTTTTGTATTACGGATAGGGGGAGAAGAAACTTCCATTTATGGTTTGACTCTGATTCACTCAATTGGGTCCTGGAATCTCTACCTAGACTGATTTCCGGCTCTACTTGGGCTTGTGTTAAACTAGATTTTAAGAGAACACTTGAAATTGCCGTTGACTCTGATAGGAGGGGGGATTCTATTCGCATCTTGGAAGCTAGAAAAGAAGGTAACAGATTCATTCATATCCCGTTTGGAGTTCATAATGATGGGTCTAATCAGTTCCTTAAGGCTCTTTTGTGCTTCGTTGAGCGAGCACGGTGTCTAGACAAGGTTAAGGGGCTTGGGGAGTTTGAGGCAGCAATAGGAGAATCAGGAACAGTGGCTGCCTTGAGAGAGTGAGTCTGGTCCAGTGCACTCTAGTGGAGAGATTCCTACTCAACATTTGAACGATCATGAGTTAAGCCCTAATCTAAACAACATCGGGGTAGGGGATCCACTGTCTGATTCCCAATCCGAAAAGGATCTACCACAGGAGGTGATAGATTCACTCCAAAAGTGTGATGAGAAGTTTCTGAATCTTGAGAACCATGACTTAAGAGTACAACTTTTGGAAGGGCAGGATCTACAACTGGGAAACATAAATCAGACTGAGTGCTCGGTGGAAATTTCTGAACTGGATTTGCATAAGCATAAGGCATACATTGCTCAGGAAGAGTCCCCTTCATTGTACAATATTCAATACCCCCAGCTTCCAAGAGTACGCCTATCCCCTTTTGTTGCGGAGTTCATTCCACTTAAGCCCAACACTTATGCAGCTCTCTTTGAAAACCTGGAAGATGGCAGCCCACTCAAGGAGGATGATGAATTTGACAAGTTTGAAGATGGAAGAAGATGGAAACTTGGTTCTCAGTAACAATGCACTAGAAGACATCAGGGAAGAAAGAGAGGGACCTATTCTATTTACGCACTCAGAAGGAGAAGACAAGGTCTTCAATGACAACATACTCAAACCTCTTCAAATAGATTACTCCCAGATGTTCAAAACTCCTTTCGATTTGGGGAGAGAATTCAAGGGCAGACGCATCTACTCTCTTTCTCAAATAGTAACACGAAGTAGGGCAAAGATTTTGAAAGAAGGAAGAAAGAAATCACCACTTGGATGGGAGGAAAGGTCAGATGGTTCAGAGATTAATTTTGCAGAAGACCTAAGGATTTTTTTTCAGGGATTTCTGTCCAAACAAACCAAAAAAAGCATCCAATATGCAGTCCAGAAATAAGCCTTTAACCAAGAGCCAAAAGAAAAAATCAAAAAAGAAACTTAAGAAGAAAATGGCAGGAGGGCAGGTAAAGGAAGATTCTGATTGATCCCGCATCACAGGCACTTGAATGGTTAACTTGGATTTTTCTTTTTCTCGTTTGGGAACTGCCATTTTTAGGTATTGGCTTGCTCTGTGCTGGTATAGTTTTGCAGGGAATAATTGAAGTATTATGCTAGAGGATGGTCTTATTGTCAGAACTAGCTAAGAGTTTGGGTTTCTCCAACTCGATGGTTTTTCCTGGTATCTTGTTACCAGACTGTTGGTATAGCATAGTCCTGCATTATTTGAAGGCTGTAGACTCATTTAGGTGGATTTTTCTCTTGCGCTTGGGAGCTCTCTCATAACTTCTCTGGGAGGATATCTACATTATTGAGGTATTAGGACTTCTCACCCCTGACTGAGGATATGGCTTTAGATAGGAACCTTTGGCGGACTAGGATTAAAGTAGCTGGTTAGGAGCGCGGTGCTGCAGAGGTTTTTTGTAGTGTGTGGTGTTTGATTGGAATCTTCTACTTTTGCTTGCTGGACTCAGTGTTGTCAAGTCGTCGCCTAGGCGTCGACTAGTCGGCGACTAGTCGTCCGGTCGTTTTGGAGAAGGAGAAATGTTGTGCGACCAGCGCCTATGGCCGACTAGGCTACTAAGCGCGCTAGGCGACGCTTAATCGGAGAAAGAAAACCGCAGAATTTGACCTACTTTAATTGACCCGACCCAACCCGACCCGACCCGACCCAAATTTCATTAATTTTAAATTTTTTTTAACAAAACGCTCCTTCGGCTGCCTCCTGCGACGCAATCCACACACAATCCAGTCGCGCTCGTCTTCCAATTCCGGCGTTACTTCCGCGAGACCGCGACTTCCAGGCCACCAGCGAGGCAGCGACTATCAACCATTGTCGATTATCTTCCAGCGACTCTCCTCATGGAATTAACTATTTTAATGTCCTTTGACTTCTTTTTGTGTTAATTATCTTTCTTGGTGTGTTATTTTTTAAGATTGAAGGATATTTGCTTGTTATGTACTCTTTGTTAAGTGACTTTATGTGCTATCTTTAAACATAAATTTGATTTGGTTATGGTATTTTGACATATAAATATATATATTCTTGTTGGGTTAACGTAGATATATATAATGTTAAAAATTTCAATACTAATTATGATTTGTCGACTAGTCTACGACTAGTCTACGACTAGTCGCCTAGTCCACTAGTCTCCCCGTCACCGACTCGACTCGACTTGTCGACTTGACAACCATGCCTGGACTTTCATTTCCTTGTACTTGGTGCTTTATCCTGTTATATCCTGTTACCCTGTTATATTGTGTTCTCTACCATATTTTTGTGCAGGTTGAGCCGGGGGTCTCTTGGAAACAGCCTCCCTACTTCCGAGTAGGGGCAAGGTCTGCGTACACACACCCTCCCCAGACCCTACTGTAGTGGGATTCAACTGGGTTGTTGTTGTTGTTGTTGTTGTTGTTGCGTTTCAAGGCTGCCATGCGAAGGTTCCCTCTGCTAGTTCAATTGCTACTAGAAAGACAACCACTGTGGTTTAGGGTGCTACACGCTGTTAGTGAATTTTGGGTACAGAAGAAGAAGACGTTTTGGGGTTGTCACTTGTGCTGTGTCCCCCTCCCTTTGTTTAGACCCTATTGGACTTTGCATTTACTTTTCTGTACTGGCCTTTTGTCGGGCTTGGCCACCCAAGCCTTGTGTACATTTTCTTCTCTTTTTTAATAAAACCTTTTACTTAATATATATATATATATATATATATATATATATATCTCCTCCTACGTTAGACGAGTACAACGACGACACACCTAAAATGAACCTTCATGCCATACGAGGTTACACAGTGTAACTTGATGAGGGTTCACGGGTGTTTAAGTGGAACTGCCTTTATAACACTCATTGACTCGGGCAGTCCTGATAATTATGCATTCTCAGTCTCTGAGTTACTGTATACCTAGCTTAAGGTTCTCATCAACATTGGGGATCAGTTGTGGAGGGATTGGGTGCTTTTAAGGAGTTAAGGACATCACTTTCTAAGTTTCTATCTTTGCACCTTTTTTGTCACTCCTCCATAACATAACAAGTTTTCAAATGGTCTTGGTGGTGAAATGGTAGAGTAACTTGGGTCCTATCACTTGTGATTTTTTTCTCTTTACAGATGACATTCACCCTCCTTGGCATACTCCTTACATGGGCAGCCCAACACGGCTTACACCGACGTCCATGCACAATATCTGCTCAGCTACATTTAACAAGGAGGTGCTAGAGTCTCATTGAGCTCTTTGGTGACATTTCTCAACAATTGCATCCTTCATGCTAGCCAGGACTTGTGACCATCACATCCTCTTACACTCTGACCCTGACCCTGACCCCGAGGCCAGATCCTGTTGTTATTTGTGTTTACCTCCAGCTGGAGTTACTCAAGGACGAGGTCGATGACAGTTTAAGGAGATGTTGCAAAAGGGGATTATATGCAGTTATGCACAAGTCCCCATTTTTCTATATGCTTGTTGGTCAGTTAGGAAGATCTATGCTATAGGAAGATTTCTGTGTGGATGAAAGGGAAGTTCTATCGATCTGTTACCTGACTAGCTTTGCTAGGGAGTTAAGAAAACTCATGTTCGTCAACTACATGTTGTGGAGATGCGGGATGCTAGAGTGGATGTGTTGGCTTATGAGGTTGGATAGGATTTAGAACGAGGTTATCCAGGGACGTGTAGGAGTGGCACCTCTTCAGGACAAGATGAGGGAAGCTGGGTTGAGGTGGTTTGGGCACGTTAAGCGGCGGAGTACTAAAGCCCAGGTGCGGAGATGTGAGAGCCCAATGGTGGTGAGCGAGAGTGTGGAAAAGGGTAGACCTAGGGAGAATTGAAAGGAAGTGTTTATACATGACGTAAGATTTTTGCGCATTTCTTAGGATAATAGGATATGACCTTATATAGGAGCATCTATAGAGCTAGGATTTGGATAGATGACTAGGCTCTTGGGCTCGGTGGTAGTTCTTGCACTTGTATTGTGCGCTTTCTTTGCTTAGTTCTTTTGTTTCGCTACTCTTTTCTTCCATTGCTTTTTTTCCTCTCCTTTCCCTTAACTTGCTATGTGCCTCTTTTGCTGTGCTTTGTGCTTTCTATGCTTTTCTCTGCAGTTTGTGCGAGTCTCTTGAAAACAACCTCTCTACTTTCGAGTAGGGGTAAGATTTGTGTACAGACACCCTTCCCAGTCCCTACTCTTGTGGGATTTTATTGGGTTATTAATGTTGCTGCTTGTTGGTCTGTTAGCAAGACATGTCATGGCAGTTTTGTTTAATGCACACACAGTTACGGATAAATTCCCTATGTTTATCATTAATGAATTGTTGATGAGCACCATTATTGTTTTCACTAAACTGAACCTTCCTTTGGTCTTGATACAGCCAAGTCCGCATGTACCCTGCGGATGTGAAGGAAACAACATTCCGTTGTTGGATTCTTATCATGCCTTTTAGCCTTCCAAAGCTGAACCTTCCTCCCGTCTTAAATGAATGATGCTTTCGGGCCATTCATAAGTTTGTTTTGGTATTCTTTGATGGCATTTTAAGTTTTAACGAAGGGTGCTACATGGGTAGAACATCTCCAACATATTTGCTTGGTTTTCTTTATCTTGCATCATAACACCTTATTCTTGAAAAAACAAGTCACCAATTCCTTCGCCCCTAAACAATGTCATTTTAAAGAAAAAAGTGTTCTCAAATAATTGCGGAATTGCCTCTTCTGAATTTCAAGAGATCATTTAATTGTGAGTTCTCCGCTTTTTTCCTTGAACTAGAAATGCTTTGTGGTACTTTGTCTATCTTTAATGGATCAATGACGGGTAACCTAGTTCTAGTATAGTATTCTTTTCTTGATTTTAGAAAAATATACTCCCGTCTTTGAATGAACTTTTCGTATCCCTTATTTGGACGTCTAAAAATCAACTTTACACTTTTCCACTTCCCCTTCTAGGTCTAGGAATTAAATATGTGGACATGTTTAATTTTTTCTCTTCCAAATGCATTTCAACCACACACTCTTGACTTTGTACCAAACACGTTTCACTTTTCAAAACTTCTCTTGAAACTCTGTGAAGTCAAGCTGTAAGGTTCTTTCAAAGATGGCAGGAGTATTATTTATGTTTAAAAACCTTGAACTCAAACTGTAAGGTTTGTCAAAGATGGCAGGAGTATTATTTATGTTTAAAAACCTTGAACTACAGTTCTCACAACAGATGGAGCATATCTTTGTGCATGGATCATGCATGCATTTTGGTTTTGATAGAATAAAGAGGCTCAAATATTTAAATGCAATATACTAAATTAATAACTGAAAGGAAAGATGGATCAAGAGTTTCCAAAGAAAACTCTCCAAGAGTCCCGAAGGAAAACTCAACCAATATATTCTGGCACCCCCATTAAAGCCAAAAATATCCCAAACTAATGTGTTTTCTTTTCTCTCAATTGAGTGCCTTTATTTACACCCTAACACATCAATACTT